ATTGCAGTAAGCCCAAAATGGACAAATTCAAAGATACGCATCAGGTGAAAAGAGTGCAGCTATGCGAAGTTGATGTGCCCAAAGGAGAGATGATTCACCATGGCGAGACTTTCACGACAACGTTTGACTCTGGAGCGGAATGTTCATTGGTTAAACAAAAGATAAGTGCTAAGTTAGTTTGTAAAAGAATTAACAATACAGTAATGTTGAAAGGTATTGGAAATGACAGCATTTGTAGTACAATGCAAATACTTTGCAAGGTACAAATTAACAATCATTGTATTGAAATGTTATTCCATGTTTTGGGTGATGAATATTTGAAAAATGATATTATGATTGGTAGAGAAATACTGTCGCAAGGATTTTATGTCATTATGTCACCTGGAAAATTTGAAATTGTTAGATCAAAATCTGTTAACTTTTGTTCAAATGATGATGTATTTTCTAAATTGAATACTGATCTTGTCTTTTTTGGAAAATTTATTGGAAAACTATTCAAAATCTTTTAAAAAGGGAATTCCTTCATCTACTGTCAGTACAGGTGAAATGAAGATTAAATTAGTAGACAATAGAAAAATTGTTCAAAGAAGACCATACAGGCTTAGTCCAAATGAAAGAGAATTGGTACGCGACAAGATTAAAGAGCTTTTGGAATGCAATGTCATAAGGCCAAGCTGCTCTCCCTTTGCAAGTCCTATGATGTTAGTAAACAAAAAAGACGGTTCTCATCGTTTGTGTGTTGATTACCGTGAATTGAATTCTAACACAGTTTCAGATAGATATCCTTTACCCCTTATAGCAGATCAGATAGCCAGACTTCATGGTGCTAAATATTTCACTTGTTTGGATATGGCAAGTGGATATTACCAAATCCCATTGCATGAAGAATCAATAGAGTGTACGGCTTTTGTCACCCCAGATGGCCAGTACGAGTTTTTGTCAATGCCGTTTGGTCTGAAAAATGCACCTTCAGTTTTTCAGCGTACAGTGATGCATACACTTGGAGAACTGGCAAATACTTTTGTGGTTGTCTATATGGATGACGTGTTAGTGGTGGCTGCAACGAAAAGTGAGGCTTTGGAAAGACTACAGGTTACTCTTGATGTTCTCACGAAAGCTGGTTTCTTGTTCAATATTAAAAAGTGTTCGTTTCTGAAGTCAACTGTTCAATATTTGGGATATGAAGTGAGCAAAGGTCAAATTCGTCCAAATTCAAAAAAAATTTCTGCATTAACTGCCTTACCACCTCCTCAGTCGGTTTCTGCTTTAAGACAATTTATTGGACTTGCGTCTTACTTTCGGCAATTTATACAGGGATTTTCTTGTTTCTTGAAGCCTTTGTATTTGTTGACATCGGAAAAGAACGAGTTTATTTGGAAGCCAGAACATGAAGAAATAAGACAAAAAGTTATATCTGTTTGGTTATTTTTGACCCGCAATATCCAATCGAGTTGCATACTGATGCAAGTGCTCGTGGATACGGTGCCATCTTGTTGCATAGAATAGATAACAAGCCCAATGTCGTTGAGTTCTTCAGTAAGGCTGCCTCACCTGCCGAGTCAAGATACCATTCTTACGAATTGGAGACACTCGCGGTTGTCATGGCCATTAAGCATTTTCGTCATTATTTGACAGGCAGAGATTTTGTTGTCTTTACCGATTGCAATTCGCTTAAAGCATCAAGAAATAAACGTGACCTATCGCCCAGAGCACAAAGATGGTGGGCTTATTTACAGTCGTTCTCATTTGAATTACAGTATAGAGAGGGTAAACGAATGGCTCATGCTGATTTCTTTTCAAGAAATCTCCCATCTGCTGATGCAATTGATGCTCGTAAAGTTTCTGAAAAAAGAATTAATCTGGCAGAGATATCTAGTGATTGGCTGATGGCTGAACAACGCAAGGATTCCGATATAATTAATATTGTGAATAAACTAAAAGACAATTCTCTTGCCGAGGACATTGCAAAAACTTACGAACTAAGAGCAGGAATAATTTATCGGAAAATACAGAGAAATGGCAGAACTCGATCTTTGCCAGTTGTTCCAAGAGCATTTAGATGGTCCGTTATTAATCAAGTTCATGAGACAATAATGCATTTGGGTTGGGAAAAAACATTAGACAAAGCCTACGATTTTTACTGGTTTGAAAACATGTCAAAATATGTAAGGAAATTTGTTGAAAACTGTATAACTTGCAAGATGTCAAAGTCGTCCTCAGGTAAAGTTCAGGCTAGACTTTTTCCAATACCAAAGGTCGACACACCTTGGCATACAATACACATAGACATAACAGGCAAGTTAAGTGGCAAGAGTGATCAAAAAGAGTATGTCATTGTTCAAGTGGACGCTTTTACTAAATTTGTTTACTTAACACACACACTCGAGATTGATGCTGACAATTGCATAGGTGCTGTGACATCGGCTGTATCCTTGTTTGAAGTACCAAACCGCATAATAGCAGACCAGGGTAGGTGTTTTGCCAGCTCTAAATTTAGTGAATTCTGTTCTAAACAAAATATAAGTTTGCACTTAATTGCGACAGGTGCAAGTAGAGCTAACGGACAGGTAGAACGCATTATGAGCACTTTGAAAAACTTATTAACGGCAGTTGAAACTAGCAGCAGATCTTGGCAAGACGCATTGGGCGAGGTACAGCTAGCCTTAAATTTTACTGTAAGTCGAGTGACAAAGGCAAGCCCTTTGGAATTGTTCATTGGCAAGGTTGCTCGTCCGTTGGGGTTGCTTCCACCATGTGACGTGGCACAAGAAGTTGCAAATTGTTCAAGTACTAGACGGAGATAGATATATCCTCAAGTCGTTGACAAATAATAGGAAGTTCAAGTACGCTCATGAAGATATAAGGAAATTGCCTGAGGGATATGTTCCAGATGATTTAGAAAGTTGTGATGAGGATTTGAATGATATTGAAAAGGAGGCTGTTGCAAGAGACAGTAATGAAATGATAGAAAAAGAAACTGTTGAAAGAGACAGTAATGAAGTGATTGATAAGGAAGCTGTTGAAAGAGACAGTGTTGGAATGATGGAAAGTCAAACTGTTGAAAGAGACAGTATGGATGCCTGAAAGGCTGATAATAAAGCTTGAATAAATTTGTCATATCTGTAATGCAAGCACTAGTGCAAAACAAATGTTTTGATCATGGCGTGTGGTGCATAAAATAATGTAATGCGAAACCAAGTGGGTTTATGATAATGAAGAGAATTATTAAGAAAGTTTAATTAAGTAAAAGATAAATTTTATATTAGTTTAAGAACTAAGAATGGATGTTTAAATTCTGCATAAAGCTATGAAGTTTATAAAAAAAAAAAAAAAAAATATAAAATAAATTAAAATAAATAAGTTGTAATTGAGAAATTTATAAGAAAAAGGAAATGTTAATGTTACATTTTATTTGATGATTTATAAATAAAATGATTTAGAAAGCTAAGCATTTTTTTAGAATTACACGAGGTCGTGTTATGGTCAGGTTGGCCGTGTGGAAGCATAAGTAGTTTGAATATGTTGGCGCAGTGGCGGCGTGTGCTGGAAATGTATGTGAGAATTGTATTGAGTTTGTGTTAGTGCGTATTTGGGTATTTCACCAGAGTCGCAAGTACATTGCGATATTGCGTCAGTCTGTTTGTGTGTCTGTTTTGTTGTCTGTTTTGTTGTCTGTTTTGTTGTCTGTTTTACTATGTAGCTTGGAAAAGTCCCGTTTTGGCGGGCGACAGCGTCTGTAGCTGACGCCGAGTGTGGTTCGGTAGGAAGGCACGAGAAAAAGGGAAGACACAAAGTTAGTTGTGTTTAGGATCCCGGTGCGACCGAAACTCGCTGCGCCTAAAACGATGGCAACTAATAACGAAAATAATGACGCTGCAACACATACATATGAAGAGCATAGTAAAACTAATAAATGCCGAGTTTGATCAAGATATCTTTATAAACAAAAATGTTTTTCATACAAGAACCTACTTTTCGGCCGATCGTTCCTATGGCAGCTATATGATATAGTAGTCCGATCCAGATATTTTTGACATATGAACTGCGTGCAACAGAAAGAGGGACTTCTGCTAAGTTTCATAAGGATAGCTTTAAAACTGAGAGACTAGTTTGCATAGAAACAGACAGACGGACATGGCTATATCGACTCGGCTGTTGCTACTGATCAAGAATATATATACATTATGGGGTCGTAGATGTCTCCTTCTATGCGTTACACATTTCACGACAAAATTATAATACCCTCTGCAAGGGTATAAACAACCAATTAAAATAGCAGCACGGAGAACAATACAATCGTAACTTCAATGCTGTTGATAAAATTCAAAGCAGACTCGCATGTACAAGAAAGGTTAAGTATTTTACCAAAGTTGTATCCAACCATATAAAGTTTTTATTATAATTACGTTTTATATACCCTACACGCGTGTTTACGTACTTAATTTTTAGTGGGGAGGAGTGACATATTCACAACAACAGAATTTTGAACCACTGTTATTCATAAGCTGCATTGCATGGTATAACCAAAGACAATATAGACAGTAAGCCATACAACAAAATGCTACTATGCAGCTTGCTTTTTTGAAATTTGAGAACGAAAATGAAGTCAGTATCATTGGGCTCTCACATCCGAAAGAGCGAAAAGCTAAAAATAGAATGTACGCTGAGCTTCGGCTCTATGAGAGCCGTGTAAGCAATTATGTTTGTAATGGATAAGGCAGAAGTACTTTGCGTCGATCGTGATGCGTTTCTCGTGTCAGCGCATCAGCAAGCCGCGACTTCGGCATACGTTCGTCTTCGGCAGGCATGTCGTGCGAAGCTTCAAAGATGAAACGCCAGGCTAGAAATTTTGCGTAGCATGCTAATGTATGCGCGTTATTTATATTAGTGTTTATATTGTCTTTGGTATAACCCACTGTGCGTTTACAAAATGAATAATCATTACAATAGCATGCCTTCTGCAGCCGAATTCAAATAATGCTAACAGCATCGAAAATCATAAGAGCCAAGCTCAAATAATGTCAACAATCATTTATAAACAAATACTGACCAACAGAAAGGCGACAGCATAAACAAGCTGCAGCTACTATCCCTTTGCAAAAAGTCAGATACTCCAGTTATTGTTTAGCATTGAATATAGCTTAAGAACATTTTTGTTCCTAAGTCTTAATCCAGATATTCAACATAATAAACTGATAAAAATTCAAATAAAGTCTTTTTATTTTAAAACTTATAACCACGGTTGTATATTTATATTACTAGCGGGTATAACCCGGCCTTGCCCGTGACACGAATGGTTTAAAACAAATGTACTTAACAAGCTTTCAAAATGATTTTGAAACTGATCGGACGGTAAACAAACAACTTTCATACAAACGTTCATTATGTTCAATGCTACTAAACGTTTTCTTGTGTCGATCCTTATCAAAGAACAAAGCATCAAAGAAATCTTAGTAAAAGGATCCACACGGAAAGATGTGGTCACGCGGTAAAGTCGGAGGGCGAATGGCCTCAGTATATTTGGTTGCGAGAAAACAAACACCGGTGGCCATTGATAAGATATTGATCCATACCAATCCTTACTACGGTCTTTCCTGTAGACCTTAGGTGCACAGCGGAGGTCGGGACCCTTTGATACCCTAGCTCTTCCGGGTTTGGGGTGGGGCTGCTGTGTCCTAAGACCGTCGCTACAGCGTAAAAACTGTATATATCAACATATTGGTGAGGCTCCTTATAGCTAAACAACTGTCTGATTGTTGCCGGATCTGAGATGAAGGGCGATCCTAGCGATCTTTTACCCAGCCAACCATGAATCTCATGCCAGTTTAAGAGAGACTCCTTATAGTAAACTTATCTATAACATTAGGACACTATGCCTCCCCTCATTACCGAAACTTTAACTTTTATTTTGAATTACAATAATATATATGCTTCAATTATTCTCTCTTTAAATTTTAAAATTTTTTGTAATTTTCGACATTCGTTATAGCTAGATGCGATATGCAAATTAATTCTTCATAATTATTTAATTATTAAAGGAAGATATATATATATCGTTTCCTTGTTTGTTTGCGTTTCTAAACCAGGTCATATAAAAATATAAAAAAATTACTATTTTTACGTATAGTTCCTTAATTAAAGTTATTATTACAATTATTTTCTCATATGACGTGCCTGTTGTATAACTACTTAAAAACCGTAATGATGCTGTATAACGTATGCATTGGGATACGTATATATATATTGACCACGCATCTTGGTTAAAGTCCGAGCAAAACTCATAACAAATTTTTAACAAAATTCAAAACAAACAAACTAGTAGGCGCATACTTTTAGTAAGAACGGACTCAAATCAAATCAGCAGTTTCTACTACGTTTCTCCACGTTAAGCTTTCGAGTTATGCAAGTCAACTGCATAATCAACTTACAAACAAAAAGAGTGTTTGAAAGCTCTCACGCTCAAAGATGTAAAAGAGGAAGAAGGATGTGTGGTGACTTACATGCAACTGCGGTGAAAGATCTTCCAATGCTGGAGACGGTGTTGTTCCCTTTTCTTATGAGTAGTGGGTTAGTATGGTATGGAACTTCTTGTTCTTTTTTTTTCTTTAATCACTTGAGCACGAAAAGTTCGTTGATCAATTATGCATATTTTATTTTATAATTTTTTTTTGCAATATTTATGTATACAAAATTTTTTTTATTTTATTTTTGTTTTGTTCTCTGCTTCGTATACACATAAAAAAAAGTTGCATAAAAAATTTTAATATTTCCAAT